CCAATTGAATATGAATCGTGGTCGGCTTCACCTCTCCTAAACCAAGTTTCCTGAAAACAGAAAATGGCATCAAGCTTATCAACATATCCATGAACTTACCAAATTGCTTGTCCAATCTTTGTTTCTATAGTCTATGAGGATACGAAAGAGAAGCTTCATCTTTCTTCACATATTAGGCTTTGTTCTCAAGTTCTGCTTTTGTGCCTAGGCATTGTGTTGAGGCATTCTTCATTCTGGATTCTATGCCTAGGCACTGTGTTGAGGCATTGATGGTTCTATCTAGTTTCGTATCTTCAACATTTTCCTCAGTTTCTTCAACTTTTCTTGATTCTTTCAGCTCCTTACCACTTCTCAACCTAATGGCATTGAGTTGCTCCTTTAGATTCTTCTCGGTATCACTCGGCAACGTTCCTTGAACTCTTCCCGCAAAAATATTGTGAATTTGCCCCATTTGAGTCTCAAGATTTCTTATGGAAGCGGATTGATTTTGCAACAAAACTTTATGCTTTTGAAGTTGAGCTTCATTCTTGTCAAACCTTGTGCCTGATTCCTACATAAACTTTGTAAGTACATCCTCCAAATTTGATTCTGTCTCTTGAACTTGAAAACCAAGAGGTAGCTTAGGATAATTGTTGTTACTCCAAGAAAAATTTGGATGGTTTTGCCATGCTGGAGTATATGTATTAAAGTATGGATTCCCTTGCTCTCTTTGAAAATTGTTGACATAATTTGCTTGTTGAGGTGGAGCAAATGGATTCTCTACTTGACAAATGATTCCCTGCACAACATTCACAAGTTAGAGAATGAGTTTCACTAGCATTCACCTTTAGGGCAACTCCCAATTCCTTTTGGATGACTGAAAGTTAAGCAGCCAACGCAGTGTAGCCATCAACTTCGTGCACTCTCGCTGCTTTCCTTGTTGAATTTCTTTCCGAATGCCTCATGTAGTTATTGTTTTCCATCACTTCAATTAGATTATAAGCTTCCTCCGGTGTTTTGTTATTCAAGGCTCCCCCACTTGCAACATCTACCATAGCTTGTATATTTGGCATCAACCCATTTTAAAATGTTTGCAGTTGCGACCATATTAGTAACTCATGGTGAGGGCAACTCCCGTAAGAGATCCTTATATCTCTCCCAAGCTCATAAAGTGACTCCATATCTTGTTGGAAAAAAATTTGTGATATCACTTCTCAACTTGGCAGGTGGAAAATATTTAGTAAGGAACGCTTGAGCTAACTCATTCCATGTCGTGGTGCTCACAAATGGCAGAGAAATCAACCAAGCTTTAGCTTCATTCCGAAGAGAGAATGGGAAAAGCCTTAGCCTAATTGCATCATCGAATACTCCATTATGCCTGAATGTGTCGCATAACTCTAGAAAATTGGTGATATGGAAGTTGGGATCATCATTAGGCAACCATGTGAATTGGACCGACTGCTGAATCATTTGAATAATTGCTAGCTTGATCTCAAAATTATTCGCTTGAATCAATGGTCTCCTAATACTAGAAACACATCCCTCAATTGTAGGTCTTGAGTAATCCTTAAGTGCCCTTTGAACTTCTTCTCCTCCTGTATTTGCCATTGAACCTAACTCCTCTGTAAAGTCCAACATTAAAAATATAGAAATAAAAATTAAAGCACTAAAAACAAAAAATAAATAAAAATAAATTACAAACCAAATTACCAACTAAACAGCTTGTATTGATATTGAAAATATAAAAGCAATTCTCCGGCAACGGCGCCAAAAACTTCTTGTTGAAATCTGCAAGTGTACGGAATCGTGCAAGTAATAAAGCTCGAGTAACGAGTGTCAAATCCCAAGAGAATTACTACTACCAAGTACCACACTAACCTATCTTATTGCTATTTGATTTATCAGATTTTCAGAATGTTTTAATGAAAAATAAAACAAACTAGAAACAAAACAAAAACAGAATTTTATTAATACTTTGATAGGAAATCAATATGACTAAACCTAAGGCATAGATTTCACACCAGTTTAATCCTATGCATTGACAATTATCATTAACCCAATTAAGTTTATTCTAAAGGCCAAACTCCCTAATGTTTCGTTAACTTTCTCTCAAACAATTAACAAATTAGCTCATAATTACTAACCTGAATTATCTCTAATCAAATTTAAGAAATTGGAGATCATTAAGTTCTATGGAATTTACCAAAGCCACACAGTAACATATCTCTAGCATTCGCTCAATTTGTGGTTTTATTACCTTAGACTAATTAGGTTTCATCTCTCGATCTCAACCTAACCCATAAAATCATTCAACTCTGGGGCCCTTAAGAATGAAAGCTTCAAGTGCAATAATAAAACTTAGAACAAAACTTAATAAAAATTAGCAATAAATAATTCAATGCATATTCATAAAATTGGGCTACATCTTAGCCCTATAAAATAAAATTAGTTCATACTTTTAAGAATAAAAGCAATCATTGTATTCATAAACATGAGTATAATAAAGAATAGAAAAAATTCTCTAATTGGCAAACCAAAATTGCAGGAATTTGCAATCTCCAAAGAGCAGCTAAACTTCTCTCCTTTCTAATCTCTCCCAAAAATCAGCTAAAGACTTATATTTATACTCCTAGTGCTTTAGGGTTATGATTCCCACTATCCTAATCACTTTAGAACTCTTAAAACAGGAAATACACATCATAAATTTAATGTAGAAAATTCCAAAATCGCAGTTGTGTCGCGGCACTGTGCCTAGGCATAGTTGTTTCTGCCCCAGAACTTGCAATCTTGAAAAGATGGTGGTTTCTGAGCATGATAACGTTTGAATATTGCTGATATGAATTGTAGCCATTTGAATCAGATTTCCAACAGTCCAATAATCATCTCGATCCAAGATCTACATCTCAAGTTATTGTCAAATTACTGACATGTGTTTAAAACTGAAACATTTTTCAGGATTTTCACTTCAACTTCAAATCGCCACAACTTCTTCGTTTCAGCTTCGAATCATGAACCGTTTGATTCTTGTCATCCCACATTCCATCACCGATATAATCTTCATCTGAATGTCATCTTTAAGAACTTATAACCTGAAAACAATTAAAACATACCCGTGATCCCATAAAAGACATTTATGAAATAATTAAGTTAGATTGAATAAATTAAACCTAAATTCCCATAAATAATTCTCATAAACCACTAAGTACACACGTATTTTCAAGCTCTTATTAGTAATCATTACCTTGAATTCCTCTATTATAAATAGAGGACTCCCCTTCTCATTTTCGGGATCTTAATACTGAACCTGGATTCTGATTGTAATATTTATTTTCAGAGCAAAGATAACCTACGAGAAAGAGACTGACTTGATATTCTCTCTGAATACTCAGTTATTGTACCTCTGCTTGTTGTTCGCTGTACGCGACCTCTTGTAATCTCTCATATATAAAAAGAAACAGTGGACGTATGATTCGCTTTAAACATCTAAACTACTTTAAAAATCATCTCTCTCATTTATTATTCAATCTTTGTATTTGATTATATTGATTAGCTTTCTAATAATCATTCATATGTAATTTCTAAAAATAGCTTAACACTTTGCACGTGCGAGTTGTCAGTGTCAAAATCACGCATCAACACATTTAAAACCAATGTTAATAATAAATTTCCTTTCCGGAGACAACACTTTTAAAAAAAAAAATGATTGGAGATATCCGAACCAACTTAGGTGCAACTCATCTAATCATTCAGAACCTTGAAACTATCGATAGTGTACGAACTCTAATAACTATCTCCATTAACAATCGAAAAAAGATTCGAACGTAAAACCTTTAACTAATATACTGAAGAGTTTTTAACAGACCACTCACAGTTGATTAACCCTTCTTAATTGCAACACTGCTAAACTTTTCACAGAAAATTTACCGGTACTTTCACTTACCCACATAAAATATGTTTCGATTTATACTGTTCGAAGAAACTTTCAAATTATGACTGCCGTATTGAAAATGGCAGTTGTTTAAGCATCACGTCAAAGCGTACGTCACTGACTCACTGGTATACATGTCCTGCATAAGAAATAAAGAAAATCCAGGCAGTGGTACAATTTACAAAGTTGCTGGAAGTTTTCCATTGATATGTCACCACCATGCCAGAAATATAGCCGAAGAATAATGACACCATATGTCACCTACGCCACATGCATCCTCCCGAGGACCCGAGATGCTTTGCAGGGCTTTACTGCTAGTAGGGGAGCGGGATACATGAAGATTAAAGAGGAGTCCATCGAATAGAGAGAAGATGAAAAAAAGACACATCAATGTCAATTAACGTGCACATCGCTCGACTCCTGCATTGGGGCCATATAATAATTATATACATGCGGTAAAAAAGCTGGCACATCTTGATGTTTATGTCCAAAAAAATTTAACTCAACTTTCAGGTAATCCTTCGTATCTTTCACAGTAAAACAGCACTGATCGCAAGGGTATAAACTTCCGGGAAAGCTGATTATTTGAATAGCAATGCCCATTGAAAAGCTACTTTACACTTTTTCCAAGTGTTAAAAAGTCCATATTTGATTTTCTTTTGTATATTTTACTGAGTTGCTCACATACCCAGACGGTAAAGGCCAATAAAAATCAAGAAAGAGGACAGGTTAGTCGGGATCGATGAGGCCGTGAGTGATTGAAGTGAATAAAACAACAAAACAGGTTGTGTGCCTGGCCTTGCCATCTGTGCTGATAGCTACATACCCGAGCCTTGTATTGGCACAAGCAATAACCAAACCTTAGCATGCGGGTTTAGTCCAATCCCGGAATATTGATCTTAGAAATGAAAATAATTAATGATTCAGTGAGGAATAAATAACAGTTTTAGGGGGCAAGAGAGCTGTTAATTTCACATGTTTCACGTTTTAAGGTGCCGTCAGGAATTATATGACAGAAGCATTTAGCATTAAAAGGGAAAAAGATAAAAGAACATCCAACTTAATAGAGAAGCAAAAAAGGTGAGTGGTCGACAGGGTTTCCGCTTACAAGAGTTGGATGATGCCAGGAGACCTATCTACCCAAAGGACATTGCCATAAATAACTAAGGCAGTATCTTAGTAGCTCTACAGGAGAAAAGAAATTAAACATGGTCCATGAGAAACTACCCAAAACTAAACAAAGAGTTATAAATTCGCAGGGCCTTCCAAAGAGAGGAAGGCTACTTGAAAACTCTTTGTTTGTGAAGCCAAAGATGAGGGCAGGTAATGAGTATAAGAAAGGGCTATGGACAGAGGAGGAGGACAGGATTCTGCTTGAACACATAAGGGTGCATGGAAGAGGGCACTGGAATCGCATCCCTAAAGTGACCGGTAAGGAGTTTCAAGAAATGTCACATTTTATAAGTTCTATGTTATTCAAAGTAGTGTTTATAAATGGAAGATAGTTTCTGATTTCTGATTTTATGATGATGGATGTGTTACATGGGGTATAGGTTTGAGGAGGTGTGGAAAGAGTTGCAGGTTAAGGTGGTTGAATTATCTGAGCCCCAATGTGAAACATGGAGATTTTTCTGAGGAAGAAGAAGACCTTATTATAAGACTCCATAAGCTCCTTGGAAACAGGTTTTTTCTTTTCTTCCTCTGTTTTTCCACTTCATGTTCTACAAGATTTTCTTGAACAAATTGAGCATTAGCATCAATGTCAAAAGAATCCTTTGCACGTCCACAATTCTCTATTTGGTTTTCTCAACCATTTTGAAGCATTCCTACAAACAACTGTCTTTCAAACTTTCTGATACGAACCAACTGTTGGAAGAATCTGCACTTCAAAAGGAGAATTCGGTTCATCTAATACTAAATGTATTGCATGTTCATTTTTATATTTTTGTTGTGCAGTATATTACAGTCGCTTATTTATGCAAAATCCCAAAAAGTCTATTAATGGTGATATTTATTGTTATGCAGGTGGTCTCTAATTGCTGGGCGGGTACCCGGACGTACAGATAACCAAGTGAAGAACCACTGGAACACTCACCTACGGAAGAAACTTGGCATGAAGAAGCAAGTGAGCTCCTCAAAAACAGAGTCATTTCAGACAGAAGACACCCACAAAACACCAGGTCATAACATCAATTTTGAGCATATGCAAAACAGTACTGAAATTGTGGAGAACCAAAACTCCGCTGAGACATCTAACTGGGAACCGGAAATGATGAACCAACACTACCATAAAGAATCGCTATTGTTTCCCTTTGACTTTTACTTAAATCTTTACAGCCCGGGATTGATGGAATTTCTAGATGAGAACCCTCTTGATCAAAATTTTCAAAACAACTAGTTTTCTTTTCAGTCACAAACTGGTTATTGTCATTAATGTTATCTGTTCCACAATGTTAAGGTATTTGCATCTGTGTTTAGCATATTATAGTCAACTTCTTTTCATGGTTCACTTTCAACTATAAATAAAGACAATAAAGGCACTTCACATGTATCCTAAGTTTGTCTGTATTCGGTTATTGTTTGATTTAAGAACCCCTATCACATGTCTCCTGAAATAATTGAAAGCAGAGTGTGAGACTCAAAATTTGTGTCGAAACGTAGCCTGGTCAACAACCTAATTGATCTTTACTGTAGTTTCTTGATAAAGGCTTCGCATAGAGATGCTAATTGCTAAACTCATTGGATGATCCATCATTAGTCAACACGGCAAGTATAATTTTCCTTCTTTTTTTTAAACAACAATGCGGAAACGAGCACGTGTATGATGCAGTTGCTAAGACCTGACCAAAACAGTCTTAAACAAATTGACCAATACGGCAACACCCAATGCCGGGCAACGGCTCCCATTTGTAATTCCACCACCCCTGCCCAAGTTTAAAAACAACTCATCACTCCGTGGCAGGAGAGTCATAAAAAAAAATGATTGGATTCTCACTAACTCATGAAACAGAGGATCAATTAAATAGCCACCCCCGAGGTTTGACAAACTATGGTCTCTCCCCTACTACTTTCTTAAACTAACGAAGCACCTCCTCCGTTTTTGATCGCAAGGGTATAAACTTCCGGGAAAGCTGATTATTTGAATAGCAATGCCCATTGAAAAGCTACTTTACACTTTTTCCAAGTGTTAAAAAGTCCATATTTGATTTTCTTTTGTATATTTTACTGAGTTGCTCACATACCCAGACGGTAAAGGCCAATAAAAATCAAGAAAGAGGACAGGTTAGTCGGGATCGATGAGGCCGTGAGTGATTGAAGTGAATAAAACAACAAAACAGGTTGTGTGCCTGGCCTTGCCATCTGTGCTGATAGCTACATACCCGAGCCTTGTATTGGCACAAGCAATAACCAAACCTTAGCATGCGGGTTTAGTCCAATCCCGGAATATTGATCTTAGAAATGAAAATAATTAATGATTCAGTGAGGAATAAATAACAGTTTTAGGGGGCAAGAGAGCTGTTAATTTCACATGTTTCACGTTTTAAGGTGCCGTCAGGAATTATATGACAGAAGCATTTAGCATTAAAAGGGAAAAAGATAAAAGAACATCCAACTTAATAGAGAAGCAAAAAAGGTGAGTGGTCGACAGGGTTTCCGCTTACAAGAGTTGGATGATGCCAGGAGACCTATCTACCCAAAGGACATTGCCATAAATAACTAAGGCAGTATCTTAGTAGCTCTACAGGAGAAAAGAAATTAAACATGGTCCATGAGAAACTACCCAAAACTAAACAAAGAGTTATAAATTCGCAGGGCCTTCCAAAGAGAGGAAGGCTACTTGAAAACTCTTTGTTTGTGAAGCCAAAGATGAGGGCAGGTAATGAGTATAAGAAAGGGCTATGGACAGAGGAGGAGGACAGGATTCTGCTTGAACACATAAGGGTGCATGGAAGAGGGCACTGGAATCGCATCCCTAAAGTGACCGGTAAGGAGTTTCAAGAAATGTCACATTTTATAAGTTCTATGTTATTCAAAGTAGTGTTTATAAATGGAAGATAGTTTCTGATTTCTGATTTTATGATGATGGATGTGTTACATGGGGTATAGGTTTGAGGAGGTGTGGAAAGAGTTGCAGGTTAAGGTGGTTGAATTATCTGAGCCCCAATGTGAAACATGGAGATTTTTCTGAGGAAGAAGAAGACCTTATTATAAGACTCCATAAGCTCCTTGGAAACAGGTTTTTTCTTTTCTTCCTCTGTTTTTCCACTTCATGTTCTACAAGATTTTCTTGAACAAATTGAGCATTAGCATCAATGTCAAAAGAATCCTTTGCACGTCCACAATTCTCTATTTGGTTTTCTCAACCATTTTGAAGCATTCCTACAAACAACTGTCTTTCAAACTTTCTGATACGAACCAACTGTTGGAAGAATCTGCACTTCAAAAGGAGAATTCGGTTCATCTAATACTAAATGTATTGCATGTTCATTTTTATATTTTTGTTGTGCAGTATATTACAGTCGCTTATTTATGCAAAATCCCAAAAAGTCTATTAATGGTGATATTTATTGTTATGCAGGTGGTCTCTAATTGCTGGGCGGGTACCCGGACGTACAGATAACCAAGTGAAGAACCACTGGAACACTCACCTACGGAAGAAACTTGGCATGAAGAAGCAAGTGAGCTCCTCAAAAACAGAGTCATTTCAGACAGAAGACACCCACAAAACACCAGGTCATAACATCAATTTTGAGCATATGCAAAACAGTACTGAAATTGTGGAGAACCAAAACTCCGCTGAGACATCTAACTGGGAACCGGAAATGATGAACCAACACTACCATAAAGAATCGCTATTGTTTCCCTTTGACTTTTACTTAAATCTTTACAGCCCGGGATTGATGGAATTTCTAGATGAGAACCCTCTTGATCAAAATTTTCAAAACAACTAGTTTTCTTTTCAGTCACAAACTGGTTATTGTCATTAATGTTATCTGTTCCACAATGTTAAGGTATTTGCATCTGTGTTTAGCATATTATAGTCAACTTCTTTTCATGGTTCACTTTCAACTATAAATAAAGACAATAAAGGCACTTCACATGTATCCTAAGTTTGTCTGTATTCGGTTATTGTTTGATTTAAGAACCCCTATCACATGTCTCCTGAAATAATTGAAAGCAGAGTGTGAGACTCAAAATTTGTGTCGAAACGTAGCCTGGTCAACAACCTAATTGATCTTTACTGTAGTTTCTTGATAAAGGCTTCGCATAGAGATGCTAATTGCTAAACTCATTGGATGATCCATCATTAGTCAACACGGCAAGTATAATTTTCCTTCTTTTTTTTAAACAACAATGCGGAAACGAGCACGTGTATGATGCAGTTGCTAAGACCTGACCAAAACAGTCTTAAACAAATTGACCAATACGGCAACACCCAATGCCGGGCAACGGCTCCCATTTGTAATTCCACCACCCCTGCCCAAGTTTAAAAACAACTCATCACTCCGTGGCAGGAGAGTCATAAAAAAAAATGATTGGATTCTCACTAACTCATGAAACAGAGGATCAATTAAATAGCCACCCCCGAGGTTTGACAAACTATGGTCTCTCCCCTACTACTTTCTTAAACTAACGAAGCACCTCCTCCGTTGCTTAAATCTGTTAGCTAACGCAGAATCTGTATTGAAAAGTCTATAATGTCCTTGAGTGCTTCATATAGATCCGAATAAAATTTTGTCTCAATTCATATTGCTACATGGTATGGCAACTTTACTGTTTAATTATTTTGTTCTCATAAGCTATTGTTTCTTCACGTGGGAAAATGCAAGTGACTATTGCAGCTAAAAAAAAAAGGGAAAAATCAAAACTTTGTTTGTGTGTTTTACTTTTTTCCAAACTTCAACCAAAAAAAGGTGATGATTTGTTTTTTCAAAGCAAATTATCTAGGTGAAATTACTTTGCTGCCATTCTCTTGTCATGTAGTACTCACCACTACTTGGTTTCGAGGTGTCGTGTATTTTAGCCAAACCACAGGGGTGGCTATGTAATTAAGCTTTTTTATATGACCATATTATTCCTTGGAGTTGGATAGAGGCATAGGGCTTTTACATAGAGAAGAGGTGAGGCTAATATGTCACCGCCCTAAAAACTTTGTGATTAACTAAAGCTAGCAATTGTAAGCTTAGGGCCAGCCCAATTACACTACCAACCATTGAGCAATAGGGCAGAAGTTCATCTCACATACAGTCCAACAAGTTATTGAAACTTGCAAGAAAGATAAGAAATATTATTAAAAAAAAAAAAAAAAAAAGAAGATGAAGAAATTACATTTGGAAGGGGAAAATCATAAATTATTCAAGGCAAATACAGGCCAGATACTATCTTATCTTTTGGAGAACATTATTTATGAGGACATTTATAGATAAGCAAGGTAAGATACGACGTAATTTAGGGCAGGGACACCGGACATGACATGAGACGGCAGCTGAATGCTCATGCAGCTGAAGTTGGTGAAATTTTGAAGTCAAGATCCCAGAGCTCGAAACTCCCATGGACAAAATCGTAATGTGCACCCTTCAAAGCCAGGCTCTTCTTCACCACGCTGTCTCTCACAAATGGATATGTCAACAGGTTGCCTAAAGATACATTCACAGCCTCCTGCATTTTGGCCACAGTCAAAACATTAACACCACACTATATGTGATAATGTCCAGATCATCATTCTATTCAAATTCCCAACTTCATGGATCTAAAAGCCAACATTTTTTTTCAAACAATGAGGTACATATGCATGTGCTCTTGTTTGTGTGTATTGTATCAAATACTGTAAAACTTGTTTTGCAGTATTTGTTTTATTTAATCACCACTATTCAAGTGTTCCTTCTGTCATGCCAAGTTGCTAACGAGATTCAGTCTTGTGCTACGTGCCACAGGGCTTACTATCAACTGCAATGGCAAGTTGTCATGGCCATAGAAATTAAAACCGAGCCAAGTTGTCGGCAGATTATCGGTATTGAGAAACCAAAGACGATTAAGTTAATTAAACTATTTTAGAACCCGTCTTCCAAGGATCTTAATTTTTTTTTTTTTTTTTTTTTTTATATAAACAAGGAGACTAACATAAACCTAAATTCAAGATGAAAAACATATATGATATATAATGTAACTTGCCTTTTCACAGTTTTTGCACTGCTCCTCAAAACTCAAATCGGTGCATTCTGTTTTCACCTTAGACTTTGCAGATGAACAGATTTTGACCCAATCCTCGATGAAATCACTGAAAGTGCAATAAATAAAGCAAATGTTAGTTAGTTCATTTGTTCATGCTTAGCCCCTATGTCTAGCTAGATCATAACTTAGCTGAAACTAACACTAAGTGCTAAAAAGTAAATAAATAATGATCTTATATGACTAGTAGGAAAGGAAAGGATGAGATAGTAAATGGATCAATTACTTAAATATGTTGAATGACTTATTTGGAAATTGTAACCTAACCTATAAAAAATGATGGTCTTTGAAAATTAATTAGGCCTTATTTGTCATTGCCCTTAGAAAAAGCACTTTAATTGTTAAAAAGATTTGGTAGAAAAGAGGTAAGTGTTAGGAAATAAATAAATAAAGGGGTAGGTTGGCGTACTTCAAAATTGCTTCTAACTACCTAAGGAAGTGCTAAATTAAACAAAAGGGTAACAACTAATAAATAAGTTTATAGGCATACTATTTTCTCAGGCATCTCTCTAGTCTCTACAGGGTTTAACCTCTTAAACCAAAAGCACCTGTTGTCAGGGCTACCAAACACCAAACACCGTACAAAATACTTTCTTTAAGTCTAAAGTTCTTTAATATTAAGGCCAACTCAGAACCAAAAAGAAGACTAAAAAAAATATATTACAAGTTCTCCTTTTTGCTTTTTGGATGCCTCCAAGAATATGGTACCACCAATACCATGCACAAAAAAAAGTACTCAATGTTCTCTCTTATTCAACTTTAAACTAATGCCAAAGATACTCGTCAATTTGTAACAAGTAGCCATTAAAAAGTTCAACACCTTCACATGGGAAGTCAGAAGCTTGCTCTGAAAGTTCTGAAAGATCACCATAAAAAACACTTAACAAACAACTCTTATGTTCCTTAATCCTTTCTATATCCCTATATATTACTACTATTTGTTTTTTACATGACTTAAACAAATTAAAGACTTAAATTGTGTCTGATAAGATGGAATAACTATATAAGTGCAGTTGTTCTTACCTAGCAGTGGTCCCGTCATCTGGGATAGACATAAGCCCTTTTATACCACCGCAGCAACTATGTCCAATGACCACAATATTCTCCACCTAATCAAGTACATGATACATTCTCTTTTAAAACCAGTTCTAAACGACAAAAATAAGAGAAAGAAAGCAGGAATATTCACATTATGTGGTCATTATATAAGTGAATGCACCATTCATAATTCATTTAAACATGTAGCTAGCTAAAATGCCAAAGTTGTTTATACTGGAATCAGACGCTATTTTCAGAAATAAAAGTAATGAATTATCAAAGTAATGAATTATCAGTTATCAATAGATAAGGTGAAGCATATAAAATTAAGTATATTGACCATATCAAACTATTAAAAAACAAATGAAGCTGTTTTATATAACTTTATCTTGATTCGAAAACCGTGTGGGGCATTCCTGATGAGCAGATGTCACGTTGCCTCCACCAGTCACCGTCCAACTACTAAACAGAGTCAACACTCTTATAAAAAAATGCCAGAGTTGAATATTACGAAAAAATAAGGCTTAGTTTAGTTCACTTTTTAGGAATAATATTATTAGTTTTCCCAAAAAATTAAACGGTAAAATATCGTTATTTTTAAAATATTATTTTATATTTTTTAATTTCTTTTAAACCTCTTAAATTTGTTAATTTAACTAAACATCCCCAAATATTTTTTTTAGAAATTGTAAAAATACTTCGACCACCCTCCGACGGTGGTGACCGACTGTCCATATTTAATGGGTGGATTGGAGGTGTTTTTGTTAACTTTAAATATTTTATTATAGGAGTGTTTAATAAATAAACAAACATAGGAGGTTAATTTCTAAATCTTATATCGTAATACCTGGCCAATTAAACTTTTTTTTAAAAATTATTTTAAAAACTACCAGAATAATGAACCAAACGGAGCTAAGTATTATAGATGCACCTTCAGATGCAACACCGCATACTCAATGGCCGCCCCCACTCCTGTGTATTTTTTCTGCAGCCACAACCAATTAGTCCATAAAACAACAAAACAGGTTGTGTGCTGGCCTTGCCATCTGTGCTGATAGCTACATACCCGATCCTTGTATTGGCACAAGCAATAACCAACCTTAGCATGCGGGTTTAGTCCAATCCGGAATATTGATCTTAGAAATGAAAATAATTAATGATTCAGTGAGGAATAAATAACAGTTTTAGGGGGCAAGAGAGTTGTTAATTTCACATGTTTCACGTTTTAAGGTGCCGTCAGGAATTATAGACAGAAGCATTTAGCATTAAAAGGGAAAAAGATAAAAGAACATCCAACTAATAGAGAAGCAAAAAAGGTGAGTGGTCGACAGGGTTTCCGCTTACAAGAGTTGGATGATGCCAGGAGACCTATCTACCCAAGGACATTGCCATAAATAAAAGGCAGTATCTTAGTAGCTCTACAGGAGAAAAGAAATTAAACATGGTCCATGAGAAACTACCCAAAACTAAACAAAGAGTTATAAATTCGCAGGGCCTTCCAAAGAGAGGAAGGCTACTTGAAAACTCTGTTGTGAAGCCAAAGATGAGGGCAGGTAATGAGTATAGAAAGGGCTATGGACGGGAGGAGGACAGGATTCTGCTTGAACACATAAGGGTGCATGGAAGAGGGCATTGGAATCGCATCCCTAAGGTGACTGGTAAGGAGTTTCAAGAAATGTCACATTTTATAAGTTCTATGTTATTAAGTAGTGTTTATAAATGGAAGATAGTTTCTGATTTCTGATTTTATGATGATGGATGTGTTACATGGGGTATAGGTTTGAGGAGGTGTGGAAAGAGTTGCAGGTTAAGGTGGTTGAATTATCTGAGCCCCAATGTGAAACATGGAGATTTTCGAGGAAGAAGAAGACCTTATTATAAGACTCCTAAGCTCCTTGAAACAGGTTTTTTCTTTTCTCCTCTGTTTTTCCACTTCATGTTCTACAAGATTTTCTTGAACAAATTGAGCATTAGCATCAATGTCAAAAGAATCCTTTGCACGTCCACAATTCTCTATTTGGTTTTCTCAACCATTTTGAAGCATTCCTACAAACAACTGTCTTTCAAACTTTCTGATACGAACCAACTGTTGGAAGAATCTGCACTTCAAAAGGAAAATTCGGTTCATCTAACACTAAATGTATTGCATGTTCATTTTTATATTTTTGTTGGCAGTTATTACAGTCGCTTATTTATGCAAAATCCAAAAAGTCTATTAATGGTGATATTTATTGTTATGCAGGTGGTCTCTAATTGCTGGGCGGGTACCCGGACGTACAGATAACCAAGTGAGAACCACTGGAACACTCACTACGGAAGAAAACTTGGCATGAAGAAGCAAGTGAGCTCCTCAAAAACAGAGTCATTTCAGACAGAAGACACCCACAAAACACCAGGTCATAACATCAATTTTGAGCATATGCAAACAGTACTGAAATTGTGGAGAACCAAAAACTCCGCTGAGACATCTAACTGGGAACCGGAAATGATGAACCAACATACCATAAAGAACGCTATTGTTTCCTTTGACTTTTACTAAATCTTTACAGCCCGGGATTGATGGAATTTCTAGATGAGAAACCTCTTGATCAAAATTTTCAAAACAACTAGTTTTCTTTTCAGTCACAAACTGGTTATTGTCATTAATGTATCTGTTCCACAATGTTAAGGTTTGCATCTGTGTTTAGCATATATACAGTAACTTCTTTTCATGGTTCACTTTCAACTATAAATAAAGACATAAAAGCACTTCACATGTATCCTAAATTTGTCTGTATTCGGTTATTGTTTGATTAAGAACCCCTATCACATGGCTCCTGAAATAATTGAAAGCAGAGTGTGAGACTCAAAATTTGTGTCGAAACGTAGCTGGTCAACAACCTAATTGATCTTTACTGTAGTTTTCTGAAAAGGCTTCGCATAGAGATGCTAATTGCTAAAACTCATTGGATGATCCATCATTAGTCACACGGCAAGTACAAATTTCCTTCTTTTTTTAAACAACAATGCGGAAACGAGCACGTGTATGATGCAGTTGCTAAGACCTGACCAAAACATAGTCTTAAACAAATTGACCAATACGGCAACACCAATGCCGGGCAACGCCATTTGTAATTCCACCACCCTGCCCAAGTTTAAAACAAAAATCATCACTCCGTGGCAGGAGAGTCATAAAAAAATGATTGGATTCTCACTAACTCATGAAACAGAGGATCAATTAATAGCCACCCCGAGGTTTGACAAACTATGGTCTCTCCCCTACTACTTTCTGAAACTAACGAAGCACCTCCTCCGTTGCTTAAATCTGTTAGCTAACGCAGAATCTGTATGAAAGTCTATAATGTCCTTGAGTGCTTCATATAGATCCGAATAAAATTTTGTCTCAATTCATATTACTACATGGTATGGCAACTTTACTGTTTAATTATTTGTTCTCATAAGCTATTGTATCTTCACGTGGGAAAATGCAAGTGACTATTGCAGCTAAAAAAAAAAGGGAAAAATCAAAACTTTGTTTGTGTTTTTTCCAAACTTCAGCTAAAAAAAGTTGATGATTTGTTTTTCAAAGCAAATTATCTAGGTGAAATACTTTGCTGCCATTCTCTTGTCATGTAGTATCACCACTACTTGGTTTCGAGGTGTCGTGTATTTTAGCCAAACCACAGGGTGGGCTATGTAATTAAGCTTTTTTATATGACCATATTATTCCTTGGAGTTGGATGAGGCATAGGGCTTTTACATAGAGAAGGGTGAGGCTAATATGTCACCGCCCTAAAAACTGAGTGATTAACTAAAGTAGCAATTGTAAGCTTGGGCCCAGCCCAATTACACTACAACCATTGAGCAATAGGGCAGAAGTTCATCTCACATACAGTCCAACAAGTTATTGAAACTTGCAAGAAAGATAAGAAATTTATTAAAAAAAAAAAAAAAAGAAGAAGAAGAAATTACATTTGGAAGGGGAAAATCATAATTATTCAAGGCAAATACAGGCCAGATACTATCTTATCTTTGGAGAACTTATTTATGAGGACATTTATAGATAAGCAAGGTAAGATACGACGTAATTTAGGGCAGGGAACAGGACATGACATGAGACGGCAGCGAATGCTCATGCAGCTGAAGTTGGTGAAATTTTGAAGTCAAGATCCCAGAGCTCGAAACTCCCATGGACAAAATCGTAATGTGCACCCTTCAAAGCCAGGCTCTTCTTCACCACGCTGTCTCTCACAAATGGATATGTCAACAGGTTGCCTAAAGATACATTCACAGCCTCCTGCATTTTGGCCACAGTCAAAACATTAACACCACATATGTGATAAGTCCAGATCATCATTCTATTCAAATTCCCAACTTCATGGATCTCAAAGCCGACATGTTCTTTTAGTATTTTTTTTTTTTTTTTTTGTTAAACACTAATAATTATATACATGCGGTAAAAAAGCTGGCACATCTTGATGTTTATGTCCAAAAAAATTTAACTCAAACTTTCAGGTAATCCTTCGTATCTTTTACAGTAAAACAGCACTGTTAGCGAGCAGTGGTGGACCCAGAATTTTTTATCAACCCCCCTCATTTCGTTACTGTTTACCAATCAACTAGTGAAAATATAAAAAAATAATATTCAATTCACAAATAAACATAAGAAAATTATTATCTGAAAAAACCTCTTCAATGTGAGGAGATAAAAAAACCACGGGAATCTAACAATCCACTTAAATCCAATATAATTAAAAAAGTTTACTGATATGTATTTTTGATAAACATGCAAATGTAGCAAGTACACTAGTCGCAAAAAGTAATAAAGTGATAAGTAGAGTATCGTTCCCACGAGGATAATGTTACTAAGTACCGATTTTTCTAGTTTAAGTTCTAACTGAAGCAACAATAAATTGGATTGATGGAAAATTAACGAACTAAATATAATTTAAGAAAATATAAATGAATGATAATGAAATTAAAGCAAAACCCAACAACTTAACTAATTAAACAAAATGTTAAAAAAAAATGCTAGGGTGCTGATTTCATCTAGATATGCTAACCTAAATCATAGAATCTATTACCCAAGTTCTAATTCCTTGGTTGAAAATGGAATTCCTTAAGTTGTAAAACATACATTCTCAGGCTATATTTTCCTACTTATCCCTATTAAGCTTCCGCACCCAACAAAATGAAAATTAATAGTTCAAAGTCTTTTAAGCTTTAAGGAATTATATCTAGATTTCATAAATCGCTAAACCTATCTCTAGCGTTTGCTTAATCTACGGTATTTATCCCAAGAGGCACAATCACAAATCACTTCTCAATCTCATTGTGAACAACATACATTTGAATGGTGATCAAGCATTCAAAAGTCATTAAGCAAAGAGATAAACACTCAATCATGAAATTAAAACTCAAAGTAAAACAATTCATATAAATTTGAATCATTGTATCAAGGTTACATCAAACCCTAGTTAAACAACTCAGTTCATACTAAAAAACAAAATAAAATAACAAAAAAAAACTGAATCAAGATTCACCATTGAAAAATAAGCAAAAGATGGAGAAATATTCTCTAATTTGAAGCTCAAATCTTCAATAATTTTCTCCTTCCAAGAGCGGCCTTCCAAATGACAAACCAAGACCCTTTTTCTTTCATTTTCGTGCTAATTTATACCTATTTCACTTAAGGACCAAGCCCTAGCAAGCCAAAACGCGCCGTTTTATTTTTTACATCAGACGCAGTTTCGCCGCGGTGAAGCTTTTTCCTTGCCGCAGTGAGAATCTTTTGGGCCAACTTTGAGCATGAAAGAGTCTGAATATGGAAAAATGTTAAACATATGAATTGTAGCCCTCTAAATTATATTTCTACTCATTCAAGAATCAGTACAATCCGAGGTCTACAGCTCAAGTTATGGAAGAAATACTGAAGCACGTCCAAAGACGTTTTTCTTCAGTTTCCAACATACTGTTTACGACTTCAAGCCAAGTTTTCACCCTTGTCCAGTCAGAATTAGGGAAAACCTAAAACATGAAAGTTGTAGCTCTGCTTCTTAGCTTTCCAAAGCTTCTAAAATCAGGTCATTTTGAGTTTCCAAGCTCAAGTTACGTAATTTATGCTCAAAACTATCATTTGTGCTCAAAATCATCGTTTAGGCCTATAAAGACAAATTAATAGAATTATGATTCAAATTGTATGAGAAGCATCCTAAATCCGATCGAAATTCAATGCAAAATCATAGGGAAAAATAGGATTATCATTTACACCAACCACAAATCTATCAAAAATATTCTACACAAATTTAAAGTTCAATCATAACTTTAACAAAAGTAAAATATACAAAGGTATATAAAAATAAGGATTACAATCACTCCAAATCAAGATCCACATGTAAAAAGGAAGTTGGGAATTGAGAAAGAAAAACTTGAATATAAAAAAAATAAAACCTAACTCTTTAATTTTTTAACTTTTAACTTTTTTTTTTCCCTTTTAAAAAAACTTTTCAAATTTCTTTTTTAAGTTGAGGATGGGCCTACCCTCAAGGGCCTGGGTCCGCCCCTGAATTCGCAAGGGTATAAACTTCCGGGAAAGCTGATTATTTGAATAGCAATGCCCATTGAAAAGCTACTTTACACTTTTCCCAAGTGTTAAAAAGTCCATATTTGATTTTCTTTTGTATATTTTACTGAGTTGCTCACATACCCAGACGGTAAAGGCCAATAAAAATCAAGAAAGAGGACAGGTTAGTCGGGATCGATGAGGCCGTGAGTGATTGAAGTGAATAAAACAACAAAACAGGTTGTGTGCCTGGCCTTGCCATCTGTGCTGATAGCTACATACCCGAGCCTTGTATTGGCACAAGCAATAACCAAACCTTAGCATGCGGGTTTAGTCCAATCCCGGAATATTGATCTTAGAAATGAAAATAATTAATGATTCAGTGAGGAATAAATAACAGTTTTAGGGGGCAAGAGAGCTGTTAATTTCACATGTTTCACGTTTTAAGGTGCCGTCAGGAATTATATGACAGAAGCATTTAGCATTAAAAGGGAAAAAGATAAAAGAACATCCAACTTAATAGAGAAGCAAAAAAGGTGAGTGGTCGACAGGGTTTCCGCTTACAAGAGTTGGATGATGCCAGGAGACCTATCTACCCAAAGGACATTGCCATAAATAACTAAGGCAGTATCTTAGTAGCTCTACAGGAGAAAAGAAATTAAACATGGTCCATGAGAAACTACCCAAAACTAAACAAAGAGTTATAAATTCGCAGGGCCTTCCAAAGAGAGGAAGGCTACTTGAAAACTCTTTGTTTGTGAAGCCAAAGATGAGGGCAGGTAATGAGTATAAGAAAGGGCTATGGACAGAGGAGGAGGACAGGATTCTGCTTGAACACATAAGGGTGCATGGAAGAGGGCACTGGAATCGCATCCCTAAAGTGACCGGTAAGGAGTTTCAAGAAATGTCACATTTTATAAGTTCTATGTTATTCAAAGTAGTGTTTATAAATGGAAGATAGTTTCTGATTTCTGATTTTATGATGATGGATGTGTTACATGGGGTATAGGTTTGAGGAGGTGTGGAAAGAGTTGCAGGTTAAGGTGGTTGAATTATCTGAGCCCCAATGTGAAACATGGAGATTTTTCTGAGGAAGAAGAAGACCTTATTATAAGACTCCATAAGCTCCTTGGAAACAGGTTTTTTCTTTTCTTCCTCTGTTTTTCCACTTCATGTTCTACAAGATTTTCTTGAACAAATTGAGCATTAGCATCAATGTCAAAAGAATCCTTTGCACGTCCACAATTCTCTATTTGGTTTTCTCAACCATTTTGAAGCATTCCTACAAACAACTGTCTTTCAAACTTTCTGATACGAACCAACTGTTGGAAGAATCTGCACTTCAAAAGGAGAATTCGGTTCATCTAATACTAAATGTATTGCATGTTCATTTTTATATTTTTGTTGTGCAGTATATTACAGTCGCTTATTTATGCAAAATCCCAAAAAGTCTATTAATGGTGATATTTATTGTTATGCAGGTGGTCTCTAATTGCTGGGCGGGTACCCGGACGTACAGATAACCAAGTGAAGAACCACTGGAACACTCACCTACGGAAGAAACTTGGCATGAAGAAGCAAGTGAGCTCCTCAAAAACAGAGTCATTTCAGACAGAAGACACCCACAAAACACCAGGTCATAACATCAATTTTGAGCATATGCAAAACAGTACTGAAATTGTGGAGAACCAAAACTCCGCTGAGACATCTAACTGGGAACCGGAAATGATGAACCAACACTACCATAAAGAATCGCTATTGTTTCCCTTTGACTTTTACTTAAATCTTTACAGCCCGGGATTGATGGAATTTCTAGATGAGAACCCTCTTGATCAAAATTTTCAAAACAACTAGTTTTCTTTTCAGTCACAAACTGGTTATTGTCATTAATGTTATCTGTTCCACAATGTTAAGGTATTTGCATCTGTGTTTAGCATATTATAGTCAACTTCTTTTCATGGTTCACTTTCAACTATAAATAAAGACAATAAAGGCACTTCACATGTATCCTAAGTTTGTCTGTATTCGGTTATTGTTTGATTTAAGAACCCCTATCACATGTCTCCTGAAATAATTGAAAGCAGAGTGTGAGACTCAAAATTTGTGTCGAAACGTAGCCTGGTCAACAACCTAATTGATCTTTACTGTAGTTTCTTGATAAAGGCTTCGCATAGAGATGCTAATTGCTAAACTCATTGGATGATCCATCATTAGTCAACACGGCAAGTATAATTTTCCTTCTTTTTTTTAAACAACAATGCGGAAACGAGCACGTGTATGATGCAGTTGCTAAGACCTGACCAAAACAGTCTTAAACAAATTGACCAATACGGCAACACCCAATGCCGGGCAACGGCTCCCATTTGTAATTCCACCACCCCTGCCCAAGTTTAAAAACAACTCATCACTCCGTGGCAGGAGAGTCATAAAAAAAAATGATTGGATTCTCACTAACTCATGAAACAGAGGATCAATTAAATAGCCACCCCCGAGGTTTGACAAACTATGGTCTCTCCCCTACTACTTTCTTAAACTAACGAAGCACCTCCTCCGTTGCTTAAATCTGTTAGCTAACGCAGAATCTGTATTGAAAAGTCTATAATGTCCTTGAGTGCTTCATATAGATCCGAATAAAATTTTGTCTCAATTCATATTGCTACATGGTATGGCAACTTTACTGTTTAATTATTTTGTTCTCATAAGCTATTGTTTCTTCACGTGGGAAAATGCAAGTGACTATTGCAGCTAAAAAAAAAAGGGAAAAATCAAAACTTTGTTTGTGTGTTTTACTTTTTTCCAAACTTCAACCAAAAAAAGGTGATGATTTGTTTTTTCAAAGCAAATTATCTAGGTGAAATTACTTTGCTGCCATTCTCTTGTCATGTAGTACTCACCACTACTTGGTTTCGAGGTGTCGTGTATTTTAGCCAAACCACAGGGGTGGCTATGTAATTAAGCTTTTTTATATGACCATATTATTCCTTGGAGTTGGATAGAGGCATAGGGCTTTTACATAGAGAAGAGGTGAGGCTAATATGTCACCGCCCTAAAAACTTTGTGATTAACTAAAGCTAGCAATTGTAAGCTTAGGGCCAGCCCAATTACACTACCAACCATTGAGCAATAGGGCAGAAGTTCATCTCACATACAGTCCAACAAGTTATTGAAACTTGCAAGAAAGATAAGAAATATTATTAAAAAAAAAAAAAAAAAAAGAAGATGAAGAAATTACATTTGGAAGGGGAAAATCATAAATTATTCAAGGCAAATACAGGCCAGATACTATCTTATCTTTTGGAGAACATTATTTATGAGGACATTTATAGATAAGCAAGGTAAGATACGACGTAATTTAGGGCAGGGACACCGGACATGACATGAGACGGCAGCTGAATGCTCATGCAGCTGAAGTTGGTGAAATTTTGAAGTCAAGATCCCAGAGCTCGAAACTCCCATGGACAAAATCGTAATGTGCACCCTTCAAAGCCAGGCTCTTCTTCACCACGCTGTCTCTCACAAATGGATATGTCAACAGGTTGCCTAAAGATACATTCACAGCCTCCTGCATTTTGGCCACAGTCAAAACATTAACACCACACTATATGTGATAATGTCCAGATCATCATTCTATTCAAATTCCCAACTTCATGGATCTAAAAGCCAACATTTTTTTTCAAACAATGAGGTACATATGCATGTGCTCTTGTTTGTGTGTATTGTATCAAATACTGTAAAACTTGTTTTGCAGTATTTGTTTTATTTAATCACCACTATTCAAGTGTTCCTTCTGTCATGCCAAGTTGCTAACGAGATTCAGTCTTGTGCTACGTGCCACAGGGCTTACTATCAACTGCAATGGCAAGTTGTCATGGCCATAGAAATTAAAACCGAGCCAAGTTGTCGGCAGATTATCGGTATTGAGAAACCAAAGACGATTAAGTTAATTAAACTATTTTAGAACCCGTCTTCCAAGGATCTTAATTTTTTTTTTTTTTTTTTTTTTTATATAAACAAGGAGACTAACATAAACCTAAATTCAAGATGAAAAACATATATGATATATAATGTAACTTGCCTTTTCACAGTTTTTGCACTGCTCCTCAAAACTCAAATCGGTGCATTCTGTTTTCACCTTAGACTTTGCAGATGAACAGATTTTGACCCAATCCTCGATGAAATCACTGAAAGTGCAATAAATAAAGCAAATGTTAGTTAGTTCATTTGTTCATGCTTAGCCCCTATGTCTAGCTAGATCATAACTTAGCTGAAACTAACACTAAGTGCTAAAAAGTAAATAAATAATGATCTTATATGACTAGTAGGAAAGGAAAGGATGAGATAGTAAATGGATCAATTACTTAAATATGTTGAATGACTTATTTGGAAATTGTAACCTAACCTATAAAAAATGATGGTCTTTGAAAATTAATTAGGCCTTATTTGTCATTGCCCTTAGAAAAAGCACTTTAATTGTTAAAAAGATTTGGTAGAAAAGAGGTAAGTGTTAGGAAATAAATAAATAAAGGGGTAGGTTGGCGTACTTCAAAATTGCTTCTAACTACCTAAGGAAGTGCTAAATTAAACAAAAGGGTAACAACTAATAAATAAGTTTATAGGCATACTATTTTCTCAGGCATCTCTCTAGTCTCTACAGGGTTTAACCTCTTAAACCAAAAGCACCTGTTGTCAGGGCTACCAAACACCAAACACCGTACAAAATACTTTCTTTAAGTCTAAAGTTCTTTAATATTAAGGCCAACTCAGAACCAAAAAGAAGACTAAAAAAAATATATTACAAGTTCTCCTTTTTGCTTTTTGGATGCCTCCAAGAATATGGTACCACCAATACCATGCACAAAAAAAAGTACTCAATGTTCTCTCTTATTCAACTTTAAACTAATGCCAAAGATACTCGTCAATTTGTAACAAGTAGCCATTAAAAAGTTCAACACCTTCACATGGGAAGTCAGAAGCTTGCTCTGAAAGTTCTGAAAGATCACCATAAAAAACACTTAACAAACAACTCTTATGTTCCTTAATCCTTTCTATATCCCTATATATTACTACTATTTGTTTTTTACATGACTTAAACAAATTAAAGACTTAAATTGTGTCTGATAAGATGGAATAACTATATAAGTGCAGTTGTTCTTACCTAGCAGTGGTCCCGTCATCTGGGATAGACATAAGCCCTTTTATACCACCGCAGCAACTATGTCCAATGACCACAATATTCTCCACCTAATCAAGTACATGATACATTCTCTTTTAAAACCAGTTCTAAACGACAAAAATAAGAGAAAGAAAGCAGGAATATTCACATTATGTGGTCATTATATAAGTGAATGCACCATTCATAATTCATTTAAACATGTAGCTAGCTAAAATGCCAAAGTTGTTTATACTGGAATCAGACGCTATTTTCAGAAATAAAAGTAATGAATTATCAAAGTAATGAATTATCAGTTATCAATAGATAAGGTGAAGCATATAAAATTAAGTATATTGACCATATCAAACTATTAAAAAACAAATGAAGCTGTTTTATATAACTTTATCTTGATTCGAAAACCGTGTGGGGCATTCCTGATGAGCAGATGTCACGTTGCCTCCACCAGTCACCGTCCAACTACTAAACAGAGTCAACACTCTTATAAAAAAATGCCAGAGTTGAATATTACGAAAAAATAAGGCTTAGTTTAGTTCACTTTTTAGGAATAATATTATTAGTTTTCCCAAAAAATTAAACGGTAAAATATCGTTATTTTTAAAATATTATTTTATATTTTTTAATTTCTTTTAAACCTCTTAAATTTGTTAATTTAACTAAACATCCCCAAATATTTTTTTTAGAAATTGTAAAAATACTTCGACCACCCTCCGACGGTGGTGACCGACTGTCCATATTTAATGGGTGGATTGGAGGTGTTTTTGTTAACTTTAAATATTTTATTATAGGAGTGTTTAATAAATAAACAAACATAGGAGGTTAATTTCTAAATCTTATATCGTAATACCTGGCCAATTAAACTTTTTTTTAAAAATTATTTTAAAAACTACCAGAATAATGAACCAAACGGAGCTAAGTATTATAGATGCACCTTCAGATGCAACACCGCATACTCAATGGCCGCCCCCACTCCTGTGTATTTTTTCTGCAGCCACAACCAATTAGTCCACTTAAATAAACAAGCACATAATCCAGAAAATACCTAACACTACCATTTGGAGTAATGCATGCACATAAATTAAGTGCTTATTTAATGAAACATATTAATTAGTAATTAAACCTGGTCATAAGGTGGGACCATGCTTGCAATGTTTCGAACCATAAATGCCTCCCCTGGTTGAAAATTGAGAACATGCGAGGGGCAGACTCGGGAGTCTGAGCAAGCAAATACCATAAACTGCATACATATTGGAATTATGTTAGCTCAATCGATCCCATGTATAATTCTCATTGCTGTTCATTAAAAAGTGAAAGACATTGTCAACAAAAGATGGATTATAAGTTAACCCATTGGTTTTTTTAAAGGGACCTTTCTGTATAAAAAGGGCATGGGCAAGTGAAGTCTTATCTTTCTCAATCAAAAGCAACTTTAAGTGACCCACAAACCATGCAAGTGGATGGCGTTTGTGGTTTAAAATATATGACATTTAAAAAATGGTAGCTACCCCGACACGGCCATAAATATTGGACCCCTCTAATGGCCGAACCATAAATGATAGTGTCTTGCAACACCGACCATGGTCAGCCTCTCATCTTGGCGTGCTTCAAGAATTGATTGGTGAATATGAATACAAGACTTTCAACATTCCATATGATATTAACTTTGGAATTCATATAAGAATAGCATTTTCTAGAAATGGGAACACAAGCACAAAGATCAACCCGAGATCAGCTCTCCTCAATATCATACAAAATGTAAGGGAATTGCCAAACCAAAGTTACCAACCTTGGGGCTCTGCCCTTTGGCAAGTTGACCGTACAAATCGGGATTCTTCCTGTCAAAAAGTAGCCCAACATCAGATCCATTCATCAGGTTCAAAATAAAAGCATTACACGTGGCAAAAATCTGCATAACTGGAGTACGTTGGTTTCCCATTTCAACAAGCATTATTTATTATTTTTCATCGGTATTTGCCTGATTTATCCAACTCTTTTCGTGACAGTCTTTTCAGATCCGCAAAAGATTTTCAGCTTCCAACAATGTGTGAGATGTTTCAATGATATTTACCAAATTACCCTCATTAATGTGCAGACAAATAACCTTTTAGGAATACTAAAGGGCAATTACGGTAACTAATGTTGAAGTTTAAAAAATTGTGAAACAGCATATTCTGGGGCCGGCAAGGAAGGTTCCAGTACCTAAAATGTTAACGTATGTTATGTATCTACTTACTCGTATTTCTCTTTCTTAAAGTGATTGAACCCGGTTTGAATCCTCTCATCCGGATTGAACCCGGTTTGAATCCTCTCATCCGGATTGAACCCCTTCGAACCGACCGTCTCTAAGTCGGCCGTTATCTGTTTGATTTTTGCGGCGGCGACACCTTCGAGGTTGCTTTGTTCACTAAAATCCACGAAAAATCAGAGCCGTCAGTCAATAATTATAACCAAGTCAATAAGTGGGACCCGACATGAGAAATGTCTGATGATCAGCTACGCTCCTGTCAGTCCCCGCATGGAAATGACGTAAAAGGACAAGAATTATTCTGAATTTCCGACGAAACAATACCATACCTGAGAAGCTTGCTCAGTTCTGCAATGGCCTCATCGTACGAGTCCTTCCCCATGTCTTCTTTCTGTAAATTATAAAAGATACATTAGTTCACTTTCCGATATGAAAAAAAACTCTGCTCAATCAACTCAAACTAGCGTCAACAGTTTGAATAATTTTTTTCATCAATCAATTTCCAAAACAATGACTTCGAAAAATTTCACGGAGATGAGATCGATAATTCAGCAAAAGAACTAAGATAACAACAATAGATACTAACACAGTTGACGAAGGTTTATTGAAAGATGAGAAGTTAAGTTAAAGAAGAAGAAGATTGATTGTGTTTGTGAATGAAATGAAAATGAAAAGGTGTAATAGTAAGTATATATAGTAATGATCTGAATCGGGATCGACGCAAAAGAAACCTTTTTTCTCTGAGATTCACCTGGTTTTGAGTTCTGACTGAGAAATAATTAACCACTTGTGTATGGCACTCCTTTTCACGAGTTCAAACAAACTGAGTGTTGAGTGAAAAAACTATGCTGCGGAATAGCCGTATTTATAGAGATGAAGTTGACCGATTATGGCAGGGAATGAGGATTTAATCATCATTATCGAGTTTTAAATCGGGAAAAGAGACGATTGCTTAGTTATGTTGTCTTGTGTTTGGAAGTCCTAATTATTTTTAATTATAATTAATTGGAACTGGATTTAACAATTAGGAAGGAAGTGGCCGTTGGATTGTTCTGATGGGCACCCCATGTTTTAACATCTTGGTTATTTTATTTATGGTTGAATAATGGAGAGTAACTGAAAATGTAGAAAAAAAAAAAAGTTAAAAAATAAACAAAATAGCAGACGGCATTTAAAAGTGGTTACCGGGAGTTACGGTGGGGTGATGACAAGTCAATTAAGGACGACATATGATGGTGGCACGTGGTGAGATCTTAGAGGTGGCATGTGATGATTGACGTTGATTACTCCACTCCACTCATGGCCTCCTTATTAAACAAGTATATCCGCCACATACGTGTGAGAAGGAGCGTGGGAAGTGTGAACTGTGAAGTCACGGTTATGTTCACAACAGTTAAAGATTTGATGACAATGAGATTAATTTCAGATTTCAGAATCTCACATGATTGATCAAAGGGAGTGGTTATATAGCTAGGGCCTCTTCTATGTTATTACAAAGACTTTTTGGTGAATTTTTTAAATTAACTAATCAATATGGACTACAACTAAGAGGATAAAATCTTATATTATATTTATATCATCAAAAGTACTTTTTTAAAATTTAACCTTCATATTTAATTCGATATGCGAAAAGTAGGATGGATGATGAGGGAAGGTTTAGAAATGATGAAAATAAAACAAGGGAAAGTCTATCATATGTAGATAAGAATACCGGATCACTATGCTTGTTCTGACGTCACCATTATTAATATGATTGTTATAAAACTTATTATCTGGTGCATACTCACTTAATATAAGATTTATATATTTATTGTATCAATAAATGATATAGCCATTAAACAATCAATTCGTTGAATTCACTTAAAATATTTTCAACATTTTCCACCAAAAAGGAAGCAATGTAGAAAAAAGTGGTGAACAATACACTTTTTTGACTCCATCACCGTCAGTCAGCACGCCACCACGACTGCTTCCGGATTGGAGAGAAAACAGAAATAAGTCTCGGGATCCAACATAGACCGGTCCTTCCATTTAATGATTTATGGATTTTATGACCTGGCCTGGCCAGAAGCGAGCGTCCCCAGTTTAGATTTTACTAGACGTTTAAGTCCCGGTGAAGTTCCAATCCCAAGCATCACCGTTCCCATTAATATGTATTAATTAATCCTCAATCATATTGTTTTTGTTAATAAGTATTGAAGGTTGGTGGAAGAATTATTGAGTCGTTTAATTGAGAATATCTAAATTAAATTTCTTTTTCCGGGAACGCGTGAGTTGACCAGGACCCATTATCATAATCAAATGCAAAAATTATCCATTAATTAAAGTACCAGTGAGAGATCTTACCGGGAGCTTTGTTACACAGCATAGCATCATACACTTGCTAAATTTTGTGGCCATATTGCTTCTCTTATATATCCTTCTTTTTTACCTGTTCAACACACCAGAAATTCAACTCATTAATATTCATTAAAAAAAACAGTCACAATTAGGCAGAAGCCTGCCTTAACATAATTTTCGTACTTTTATATATTTCTTATCTTCTTGACATTTTTCTTCTTGAACATGTGCGTAACGCACCTTATTATCAACGCAACAAAGACTCATAAACACCGGTGGCTCTCACCAGGGCTCAAGGGACAACCAAATTTAAGGCAAAAAATTAAAACTAGTTTTCAGGAAATGAGAGTTAAAACTTCAGAATATATAAATTATAACTTATTATTATAATATGAGGGAATAGAGAAAGAGGAAAGTGTACCGAAGTGGAAGCCAATAATGGCTGGCTTTTGGTCTGCAGATATGGACCTTTTTTAAATTTTTTTTCTTTCTCCAATCGTTGTACAAAACTGGCTTTTGATCGATGGGACTAATCAAGGAAACGTCTCAAAATGAGATAAAATTGATCACAGCCGTCCATATTGGGTAAGAAATTAATCGAAGAATTGAGAGGGCGTATGGGTACACCACGTAGAGGATAAAGAAAGCGAAAGGTGCGCGAACAAGGGCTTTTAACTTGTAGATGGGAATCTCTTGCTGGATATTGAAGACGACTTCATCTCTTCATCACCCTCTATCCAGTAAACTTGCCATCGCAACAGTTTAAAAAAAAAAAAAGCTTCTTACCATGTTAACAATTTACACTTATTGTTGGTAGCATGTAAACTGATCATGTAGGTTTTTTTTTTTTTTTTATAAATAAAGTGCTTAGTCTGATAAAATCATTGTTTCTGAGTGTTCATACTTGATTTTGACACCAACGACCCACACGTGTAAAGTGTTAAGCAGGCTTAGAAATTAAATATGAAAATATGCAATGAGAAAATAAATAAGAAGCGGTTTTTAAAGTGTTTCGGATGCTCAAAAGCGAATCCTACGTCCATTGTGGTTGTATTAATAGGTGATTATAGTCAGGTCGCGTAAAGCGAGATGAATTACAATCAAAAGAGAGTTTAAATACAGAGAGAGAGAGAGAGAGAGAGAGTATGCTTTGGAAGACTGAAGATGAGCCAATCCCGTAAACGAGAGAGAAACCCTCTATTTATAGTTGGTGGATCCAAGGTAGTAATCATGATTCTGTAGTCGAGCAAGTGTAGTACAATTTCTAACTCGCTTCCCATTGGTTGTCTGCATAGGAGACATCCTTAAATTATGTAGGGCTTAGGCAGGTGGACAATTCTTAGCCACTCACAAGCTTGGCATTCACCTGCCACACTAACGATAGCCATACCTCTTCCGTCATTACGCGACGTGGCATCGTCTAGATGGCACAAACCCTTCCTAAACTCTGATTGGCCCTTGCTGACATGAGTTCACGTCAGCCCTGATTTTTTAGGCATAATAGAAGCCCCCCAGTTTTTAAGGTTTAAGATTGAACCTTGAGAACTTCACGATTATATCGTGACTTGACTTATCCCGAATGAAGCTTGATCGAGCTATAAGGAGGTCGCAACATAGGTCTTTAAGAATAGCACAAGCGACCTGAGGCAACCTTCTTCCACAGGTTCAGCGACCTGGGTCAGACCCTACTTAGTGTCATACTGACATACTTTGAATTTCATCCGTAGCTCGTGACTTGAGAATACTTAGCACATTTTTACCGAAAGCAAGGAATCACATCATGTCGAAACCGATACATGATGAAGAGTGTTTTACTCGAACGACCTCTTCAGATGTTATCTGTTGCGCTTGACAGCTGGTCTAGTCAATAAAATAATATTTATTCTGACAGACGTGTCTATTACACAATAAGTGTCAGCCATGCACATTAAATGCAAGTCATGCTGAAAACGACATTCCTTTTCAAAGCATTAAATGCGGATGAGAGCGCATTTAATGTGGTGGAGATAACCACACTGATGCTTGGTTGCTCCAATGGAGGAAACATCGATTGGCATCCACGAAGCGTGTAGGTTACTCTTCTCGCGGATTAATGACACGTGTTCGTAATCAATGGTGAGAAACGTATCCCGCCCAAACGTCGTTTACTTAAAGAAACCAATCGTCAGTTTTTCCCCTATAAAACCCCAGGCTCATCTCAAGCTTTATCACATAACTCACATTTTTAGCAAAACTCTTACACTTGCGAAATCAGTCTGCTCTACTTCCAGTTGATGCGCACTCTCCGTTGTGACAGGAAGTTCGTTCCCAACAGTCAAGAGTTCAGAAGGACTTCTCCTTCGTTTTCCTCTATTATTTTGTTAATAGCTTGACTTTGTGGTAATGGTGGGTATGAACTGTCTTGTAAGCTTTTATGGTGCGTATTTCTAGACAGCGGTAAGAAGAAAGCTTTTTTCTTTATAAAAAGTGAGAACTAAGGGCACGAATCCTTGGGAATTTATTTCCAAGGGTTTTTAGGGTTTTTTTTAAGGGGTTAAGGAAGGTAAATTAGAGTTTCTTTTGCTCTTCCACGTCATCGTACGGAACATTGTACGGAGACTAAGTTTTCTCTGCATGTTGCCTCTTTTTCAGACTTTAGGAGCAATTGATACTTCAGCCACCAGAGCAGCCAAGGGGACGAGCTCCCAGCAGGTACCATGTAAGAGGCCTTATCAGTGGCCACCAGGGACGAGATACAGAAAGCAGTGGCCTAGTATGCACTTAACGTGGATGTCTACTAGCATAGGACATACACAACTCGGAATCCCCTAGAGGGAATGGCCACGATCTCTGAGACGATCTTTAAATGTAGGACATTGATACCTTTTCACCCATTCATTAGATTGATCCTCAACCACTTCGAGGTCGCGTCATTACAATTGACGCCTAATGCGTATATGATAGTTGTTGCTATGTATATCACATGTGGCGAAAATGGTCTTGGCGAGCTAACAGTGTTGGAGCTCGCATGCGCTTACTATCTAAAGAAGAGTAAAGATAAATACTCTTTTTACCTCTCGAAGCGATCTACGATCGACGGAGGAATATTTGGTTACCTTAGTAACATCGGGGCTTATGAGACCAAATTTTTCTTTTTCTTTTTTGAGTATGATGGCATTTGTCAATTTAGGAAGTCAAGTAGGTTTTCCTTTCCACCGATTTGTGAACTGTTCCTTTTTCTTCAGCTCTTGTATTTAACGAACTTTTTGTCTCTTTGCAGGAAATAAGAGACCAGACTGACGGCTCTGACATATTTTAACCGAATTATGACATTTGGTCGCTACCCGAGCAGAGTCACAATGCGACACTAATCATGACTACTGCCAACTTAAGAAAGTACGGTTTTTTCAATCCGAAAGTATCTCCGGAACCCTTAGCCCATAAGTATCTTCACACTTAGAACCCCTTTCTTTTGCCTGAGGTGACCTTTTTGCTAACATGCTTTCATGGCGCACAACGACCATGCCACCTAGGGTTCCAAGGTCAACGACGAGGACTAGGGGGTTTGTATTTTCCCGGGTCACCTCGACTGAGCCAACTGAGGCGATCCCTAGCGATATCCCTACAAGAGGGATACAAATTGACACCGAAAGGCGAACACCCACAGAGCGACATGGGGAAATTTCTTGGCCCATGGCTATTTGCATCGCTAAGCAAAAAACCATGGGCCAGAAAATCCAAGAAGAGGAAACAGCTGCTTGCTAAGGAGGAATTGGAGTCCAAGCTGGAGGGCTTAGGGGTGTTGCTGAGGGGATCACAACCTTACCAGGATTTTCGCTTGGGGGTGCCCCCGAATAGTGTGCTAGACACTTCTGCGGCCCTCGAGAGCTCGCACAGATGAGAGGGGGAGGTCGTAGTTGCCCAAAAGAGAACGGGTAAACAACGGGTGGACGAGATGCTAGTTCCTCCGGGGTTAGACATGCTTGTGCTGGATTCCATGGGGTAACTCTCGGAGCATCTACAGTTGGTGGTGTATAGCCTACTAGAGTGCCAACTGGTTGCGACCTTTAAGGAGTTCGTGGCTTCCTGACCCGCAGACTTGGTGGCTACTATGCTTCAGCTGCAAAGCTGGGTAAAACAGTTTGTTCTTGTCGAGGACTTTCCAATATTAGTTTATTTTCTAACCTTTATGACTTTCGAAAAAATAAAGGTTAACTCGTTTCTTTTCTCATACAGTCTCTGCTCGCCTTGCATATGACCCAACAGAAGATCGACCTGGACTCTGCTAGAGGGTTCCACGAGCTGAAGGAAGAGAATACCAAGCTGAAACAGCAGCTCTAGACGTAGAGGCGAAGGCAATCCATATTCAGGCGAATCAGTACTTGGTAGAGAGAAATTCTACCCTTCGCATAGTGGACTTCCAGAAGGCTGAGCTCGAGAAGAGAGGCGAGGAGAATAAGGAGCTCCAAAGGACAGTGGCCAGACTCACAAAGAGTGTGGAGAGAAAGAAAAGGAGCTGAAGGCAAACTCTGGGCGTTCCATGAAGTCGGAGGAAGACAGAGCTTGACTGTGGAAAAACTCTGAGAAGCAGAAGAAAGCTTTGGAGGAGGATCTCGAGCTATCCCAAGGGTCAGTCGCTTCATTAACTGATCAGATGAAACGACAAAATCTTGAACTCGAGAGGAAAGTTGCTGACTGGGAAATACAGGCCATCTACAACTTGTGACCAAGGAATCCAAGGATGGACCTTTCCGACCTCCCGAATGAATATCAGGACATCCTTTCTTCCATGGCCCAAGCTGATGATGCCGAGGAGGAAGAGAAACATGGGCCTCTTCCAGAGGATGACTAGCCGGAAGCATACGTCCTTGAGGACCCAACAGCTCATCGGATGGTCAACAACCAACCGGGGGATACAGAGGTCGTGCCCGCAGAGCCTAGAGGCGGGGACTAGTGATCGCCTCTTCTGCTTTTGCACAGCTTTTCTTTCGACTCTTCCTCTTTTTCTTTTTATCTTTTATGCTGCCCACTGTACTTATTTTAAGCATATATAAAGAAGTATTTTCGGCCATTTGTGATAGCACTTCCATAATTCGAGAACTTCACAAGACTAATATTACACATCTGATCAGGAAACTTGTAAAAATATCGTACCGAACAAGATCATTCAAAAGATCATGACATAAATATTTGTTCAAGATAAAGTAGAACGATCTTATTCATAAATATTACAAGGAAAATTTTACAAGTAAAAGAAATGAATAAAATCAAGAGCGAGTTCGGAATTATTGGTAATAGGGGCGAAGATGTTCAGCATTCCAACCTCGCGATACTTCAGAACCGTTAAGCCTATTTAGGTGATACATTCTAGGTTGTAATACCTTAG